GGCCCTAGGTCTTCATATGTATGTGCTGCAGGATGTATGAACTCAATGCAGTACTTTGCAACATTATTTGATATCAGGCTCTTCAGTGTTTTCCTGTGGAAATGCAGAACATTCAGAATTTCACTGGCCATTTTAACACTTGTGCTGATTCTGAGAAGACTGTAGAAATTTAGAATTCCCTATGTTTAAAAGAGAAAGAGGAAAGAGACAAAGAAGCAGTATGTTCTTAACATTAACAAGGTGTTCACTGAGCTTCCTGGAAGGATGTCTTCTGATGTATCCCTTGTGAATGATTCAGACCAGGAATGCTTCCTCTTTTATTTTTATGACTATCTGGCCTTTTCTCTTTCATTTTGTCCTTCCAGGTGTTACACAGACTTAGTGCTGGGGGGAGGGCATTGTAGCTTGCCCGCTGATTGGATCTACTCTGCTTGTTAAACTAGGGGCCAGACTTTGAAGGCAAACCCAGCATCCCTCCCACAATTACTTTTCTAACATGAAGATTGATCACTTTTGAAGATACAGTCCTGTATATTTGCTATATCTGGAACATTTGATTTGAAAGCTTTGATAACCAGCTATTGAGAAATGAAATACAAATAATAAGACGCACAAGTCACAAATGCAAGCAAGCAGGAGATATAAAGTTAATGGAAAAAAAATGCTTCTTAAGGGGGAGGTAACTAAGAGGAGGAAGTTAGGGCAATAATGAGTTTTTAGAAGACAAATGTGTTGACTCTGATGGCCTTTATCTCTCTCAGAAATCTTACTGCCTTTCTCTGCTTGGCACTTTCCTTAAATACCATTCTACATCCCTCCCAACACCCTGAGGCAAGGCATGGGACAAAGATCTCCAACGAGGAAAGCACACAAAACAGCACAAGTGCTGCAATTAATAATAATGAAACGCCGTTTTTCTGGTGCATGCCATGAAATTAGGTTGATGCTCCACCAACAGAGACTATCTGAGCACCACAGATGACAGTTTAAATCATTTACATAAGAGATATACATGGTCAAAGAAGTAATGACGACTTGTGCTTATTTGGGAAATCAGTATGCAGATACGCCACCCTCCAAACCTTCTGGGAAGCTGACTGATCCTCTGGATGCTGCTCTGTTGGGAGCAGGAGAATTTTTATTTATGCTTTGTGGAGCTCATGCTCTGAACTATGAGCCAAATATATTGTGTTCAGATTTTAATGTTATAGCAATATAAATAATACAATGGGAACTACCCTTTATTAACCTGACCTAGATTTTTTTTGATAAGCTGATAATAACACCAAGTGTTAGTAAATTAGTAATTTAGACCCTGAATCTTCTATGAAGGAAGAAAATATTTGTGTGTCCTCTGCATAAACAGCACTTGATCACCAGATCGTACTAGTAAGTTCATTCATTTGGATCATAGTTTGTTTTTTTTTTTTAGTTCACATTAATGAATCGCATTAGTGAATTAATATAGTGAATTCAGGGATTTGTCAAACTCTGACTAGTAAGGTCACTTCTGGCTAAATTCTGTTAAGTTCTCATTGAAGCCAGACCTGGGAGGGGAAATGGTAAATCAGACAGTGAAGCAACAGATATTTCGCATATATCCCCAGAGCTATGTATTGGTTATTCTAGCACAGGAACAAAAATATTATTTATTCTAATCACAAAACAGAATTATTACTCATTAAGAAAACTCACATGATTTTGTATAACCTGAAGTACATTCAGATAGCTTATTCTTTTATTGATCAGAGAAAGCACACACCATAAAAACAGGGATGTTATTTCTGTGGACAGTGAATAGAAGGAAGATGGAACATACAGGGGTAATGCCCCCGAATTTCTGCCTACGCCAAAGCACCTCCCTGTAGACATGGGAACAAGGTGCTGGTGCCCTGAGGGGGATAAATAGCAGTGGAGAAGTGAGAGCGGAGGGAGCGAGGAGGCCGCATGGGGAGGTCAAGTGTGCTTGGTGCCACCCTCAAACCCATTCAAGAAGGAACAGTGAGACGTAATGAGGATGAGGCCGATATCTGGGCAGGCTCAGGATACAGGATTTTAAGCATCACTAGTCAAGCCAGGGAGTACGATGGCTGAACCAGAAATACTGATGAAAACATTTTGCATCAAACCAAAATTTTGTGCTTTTCTCTCCAGAAAAGCAATAAAGTGAAGAGTGGCTTGATCTGAAGCAAAACAATCTACCTTTAGGTTTTTTTAAGCTCTCTTTAACCTTCTGGTTTTGGTTTTGTTTGGTTAAATTTGACACAAAACATTTATAATTTCATTCTTAAAATGCTGAAACAAAATGCTTAGTCTTTCCCAAACATATTTGCTTTCTATTTTTTTTCTGAAACCATTTATTACATTTGACCCAATTTCATAAATACTTTTATTCTCCCTAATGACGTGTCATGTTGAACTGGTTAATCACATCCTCCATTGCCAGTATTACTTTCTCCAAGAACAAAGAATTCTCATGCTTTCTCCTTTTATCCTGTTAATTGAAATCCATAGTGCCTCATGACCTAAACACTCAAGTGTTTCCTTAAAAGATGCTTTCCAAGCACCTTCTTCCCTTCACGGTCACTCCTTGTAGTAAAGCAATAATATGAAATTGAATAGTCTGTACAGCTAAATTTAGAATGAGTGAAAAAAGGTTAGGTTGAAGGAATGTTTTGCACGTGCTTTGGAAGATGGCAAGGTGCTTCTCTCTACTTTCTGAGGTTCTTGCTTCACTGACCAAATACAATGGGTGCAACGTGTCAAAGAGGGAAGTTACTTCCAGGCAGCATCAACCTGACACAGGGTCTGTGTTTTAAGTCCAAATTCCTGAGTTAGAAGGGGAGGTTGGATATTTCTATTGAATAGCTAGAATGGGCAGAAGGGTAATCAGGGTAGACCTGATTCTCTACAGTAATGATTCTCTACAGTAATGGTACCTGTGGTCTGTGGAGTTTAGTAGCAAAGTGATTTTTTCTCCTGGGAGATGATAAGTGTTTCTTTGTTTCTTGGTATACTGAATTGTAGTAATTAATGGAACATCCACAGACCTCCAGAGGCCACAGCAGAGTTCTAAGGTAGATGATAGTAAAAGTCTTCCGGCTACTCTCAGATATGAGGATGAGAAGTATTTCAAAGTCAGGGATAATATGAACATCTGCTCACTATAATTCAACAAGATCATAATAATGAATCTATTAGTTTAACAACTGAAAGCCACACGTCCAAATGAGGACAAAAAAATAGCTTTTGTGAGTACATTCTTCTTTTCAGACAAATGATCTCAAACTTACCTAGATTAAGCTTCAGTTAATTGTCTTGCCACACTGGGCAATTCTGAAGGAGCCTGTGCTAGCTTCAGAAGGAAGAAGGTGATTCCTTGCCTTACTTCTGCAGCGGTTCCACGCACATGTTTGATAAGCCAGAGCCCAGCACAGAGCTGCCCAGAGGAGAGCTGTCCACTCCAGCTCAGACACAGATATCTGAGCACAGCTTTCATGTAAATGCATTGAGATAGAAGTATGTGGTGTGCAGCTGCTAATGGCATTAGACTCCTTTGGGGGACCCACCAAGATTTCTATGGATGGACAGTTCCAGTCAGTTGGCAGACAGAATTAATCCATTGGTTTAGTCTAACAGGGGACCTTAAAAGAACAATTACTTACCCTACTGTAATTGCTGCTCTTCAAGGTTAAATTCTCCATGCAGATTCCTTTGTTGTTCTTTACACAGGGGACAGTTTGTCTTTGAAGACCAATGAGAACTACTATATTGGCTATCCACTTATTGTTTTTCTAAATTAACCATAATGCTTTTGGTTAACAATAATGAATTTATTGTTATTAGTGGCAACTTTATCCTTCATAAACCACATTTTCAAAAAGTAAAAAATTATAATAATAAAATTTGGAGAGACTAGAAAAGATTTTTTGATCATACCCCATGTCTCAGCAAGGACTATTCCAGGCAGATTCCAGCATTAAACCATTCCTAGCAAATGCTTGAATGAACACCTCAGTAGCCCTCCATTCTTATCCACTTCAGTGCTTAACTATACCTACCAGAACACATTTTTTCCTAATATTTGATTTAAATTTCACTCTCTGCAATTTAAACCTGCGACTTTTTTTGCAGAATCCACAGGGAATATTTACTTCTTTCTTACTTGCTACTACATTTAACTTGAAGGTATCATTATGTCTCCTCTCTTCTCTAAAGTAAACACCCTAAATCTCTTTAGGCTTCACTCAGCAGTCAATATAGACTGCTGACTATGCTTGGGTTTTCGTATACACCTCTATTTGAGGTTCTGCCAGTGCTAAGATAGCACCAAGATTTCAGTGGTACCACACACTGTTTTCCACAGCAGCGTGATGCTGTTAATTCACATTCAACTTGCAATCCAGTATAGTCCCCTTCTCCCTCTATGCAGATATGCTCCTCAATCTGCCATTCCTTATCACAGGTTCATGAAATTTCCACATAAGAATTTTGCTATTATGCTTTTGATTTGCATTCTTTTTTTGAAAAACTTGCACTCACAAATTTCTCTGCATTTACCCAATGCAACTCAGGTACTGCATTCACAAAAGAGTAGGAATTTTTATAAGCTATGAAGTAGTGAAACCCATATACGCTATTAAGAAGATTTTTTGAAGTAGAAGACTGTAACACGATTTGTAATAATTGGTTCTCTGCTCAAGACAGCTTCAAGACATGAAATAGCATGGGGACATTTATGGGGACATAACTAATGCATGTGTGAATTCAGGAGACTGCTCAGCAACTGGCAATAGCACAAAACCTACCTTATTTAGCCCTTTCAATCAAAAGGTAGCTGAGGAAGGTAACAGTAAAGGCCTCATTTTACACACAGATTTTCGAAGAAAGAATGTTTTTGTTACTGTTCTTAAGGCTCTCGTTGCTTCACAGTGTGGCTACTGCAGGTTGGCAGATCAGATCTGATTAGGTGTTTTACGCTTTTTTTCTAATATTTTTAGAAGTGGAAATGGCCATCATGACAAAATACCACTGGGGCTGGCACACGTCTCATGCATTGCCAGATCTGGTCATGGGAGCTCTTTGTCAAACAGAAACATGTAACTGTGCCTCCTAAGCCTTGTGTCAAGCAGTTTATACAGAAGCCAATTAGGCTCTCATCAGCAGTTAGCAGGGTCTGTATAGATCCAGGGAGAATATAATGTTGGATTGTACCCTATGAGAGTTTTAATCTGTAAGCCAGAGTGCTAAATTCTGCCTAGCTTGGGTAGGCTTTCAGTGTCACAGTCATTTCATATTTTAGGCAACACATTTTAGGAGCTCGGTCCCATGACCACTAAGGCACCTTTACATTGTCAAAGAGACCCTTGTAGCTGTAAACGACAAAACTATCTTTCTTTCTAACATGATAATGATTTTTTTTCTGTTAGGTTGAGAGGATTGTAGACAAAAGGAAGAACAAGAAGGGCAAATGGGAATATCTCATCAGATGGAAGGGCTATGGAAGCAACGAAGACACCTGGGAACCTGAGCATCATCTCCTGCACTGTGAGGAATTTATCGATGAGTTCAATGGACTACATGTTACTAGAGAAAAGCGATCAAGACATGGGAAACAGGCTGGCACTCCAAAGTTTCTACGGGAAAGTCGAGGGTCATCTATTGAAAAAATATCCCACAGACCCGAATCTGGGAAGTCTAAAGGGTCAACACATAAAAGAAAGAGAATTAATTCATCTCTTCAGAAGCAGAAAAGAGGATACACAGCAAAGCCAGCATCTGCTACTGACAGGGCCGCTAAAACTGTGACTTACCGAACTACTCCCAGCGGTTTACAGATCATCCCACTAAAAAAGCCACAGAACGGCCTGCAGAACGGAGACGGCAATCATGAAAAGGATGCTAGACATTTTGGGAATGGCTCACAACAGCAAAACATGGATTTAAATGATCATGAAGGAGAACACAATTTGCCAAACGTTCTGGAAGTTAGTAACGATTCGCCTGTTGTGAATGGAATTGGTAAGTGATTTAAGCAACTATGGTCTTTTTTTGGGGAGTGGGAGGTACAGAGGGGGGAATTAATTGCAGCAACTGTAAACAATGAGTCCACTTATGGAAACACCACTGTCAGGCTACCCAAGTAACACAGTGAGAAGAACGTTAAAAAGTTTCACATTGTTTCCCCGTGAATTACACCGTTTTCTGTCAGTTGGCTTTCCTGGTTTCCTACTGAATGACATGAAGCAACGTGGGCTTTGCTCAATGCAATAGACATTTCTTGTAGGGAAACGATGACAAGGCATGGAGCAGGAAGGACTTGAGGTATGTACAGTACTGGGACTTGACTTCTGTGTATCACCAAGTCACAAATCACTACCCAGTTATGTGTGCAAAGACCCAGTGGTCCAGAAGCACCAGAATTATTTCAGAAACAAAATTAGTACCGCTCTTGCTAAAGAATCCCATGCATGAGTAGTTCCTTAAAAGTCCCAGTTCCTTGTGTCTGACAGTGACTGGAGACATCCAAGGGAGCAAGATACGTAATACTGGAAGTTCTAAAAAGCCTTGCAGTGAATGACATGACTTGCTTATAGGAGAAATTTCTTTGTAATCCCAATAGTTTCAGATTGGCTTCTTTCCCAGTGAACAAAGATTTATATTCTCTGTAAAATCCTCTGCAGTTTAATGCAAGTAAGTAGCTTCTCATTATCTATATGAGTCCTATCTTTTTTTTTTTTTTTTTTTTTTTTTTTTTTAATCCTGCTTTTTTTATAGTCTGGATGATGTTTTGTGGCATGAGTATTCCAGAATCATCAAATACGTTGTTTGTTTGATTAGATTTTTTTTTTCTGACTTTACTCTTTATATGAAAGGATGAAGCGGGAGCTGTCCTGGTCAGTCTGTAGGCAGTGCCAACCTTTTCCATCTTTCACCACACAGAAGTCTTTCCAGATGCCTGATTGTTCTCAGTATTCTCTTGGGCTTTTTTTTTTTTCAGTGGCCGTTTTTATAAAAATAAATAAAAAGACAGCATGAACTGTGCTAAATGAGATCCTACCATTTACTGATAGAGTGGTGATACAACCCTTTGAGTTTTATTTTTTCTGCTGTTACATACAGCACAAAGATTTTCATTGAGCCATACACAGTTGCTCTTAAGTTATTTTTCCTCCCTGGTTACAGTTAATTTAGAGCACTGCTATATGTATAATTCTTGTCATTATGCATTTACTCTGCTTTACTCTACCAATTCACCTTTCTGTTATGACTCAGTGGAGAGCTTCAAAATCTTTCCTAGCTTTTACTTTACTTATTTACTCTACTTATTCTCTTCAAATTTTCCTATCACACTTCTTACTTCCCTTCCCAGTTCATTAATACATATATTAAATAAACTAACCCTTGTGCAGGTCCTTGTGGCAGCCAACTACTAATCACTTGACATGAGGAAAAGCAACCATTCGTTCCTATTATTTATTTTTATTAGCCACTTTCTGTGGCCCATGATAGCCTCATTTCCTTAACAGCTTCTTGTGAATTCTGCTGGCAAAAACTTCTCAAAAGCCAACATAAATTATGTCATCCAGCTCTCCTTTTTCCACTGTACACGTAACAAATACTACTGATTTCAGAAGCAAAACTGTTCTTGCCTAGTTTCATCAATGACCTCCTATAAACTGCTGTGATATAAGGGCTTTGCAATCCAGGCATCAAATACCTTAATAAGCACTCCAATTTCAGCAAAATATACAGGCAGCTTTGGGCATAAGCAGCTTGAAGCTACCTTTGGTAGCTACCTAAGGTAGCAATGATGCTACCTTACACTTCAAATTGAGATTATAGACTTCTGTATTTTGATTACTTTGTGCCCACATGAACCTGTTTAAAAAAATAACTGCTTCCTTAAATAGACTTGGATATCTAGTTGCAGAAGTACATAAAGTTATTTTTGTTTGCTTTCTTATTCTACTGATTTTTTTTTTATCATTTATATTATTCTTCGGGGGAGGGTCCAATACCAAATGCATCCTTTTAAATGCATTTATTCCCATATTTTAAAGACTTCTTTTAATGAAAAACAAAAGCTACAAAGAACCACAAGGTCAAATGAACCTTTCATTTGTCCCCACAGGAACTAATGAGTGGTATCTACCAGAGGTCTGAATGACCCTGTGAGAGAGCGCTCTATTTCATGACAAGGCCACTTTGCTGATGCAGCCAGGTGCTCTGCCATGGATAGAGGGCTTCTGGCCTAGCAGTCAATGTATCCAACTCTTCTGAAACATTTACATATGAAGGTTTTTCATTCTTGAAATCCTTCACTCCTGCTCAGTACTTTGCACCCTTCTGCCCTTGCACAGTGGCCTCCCAGGAGGCAAAAACAAGAGATCTTTCAATTGCTACGTGGTTCTCCCCTGAGAAATCCATACTCAGCAGCACGGCCAAGGTCAGGAGTCCCTTCAGTCTTTCTTTGTGATATCCACACATCCATAGTGCAGAGAACTACAAAGAGGACAGATTAAGCTTCCAAAAAAAGAAGAAACAGGAACTAGTGAGACGGGGGCAGAATAAAAATACTGGCTTTTCTTTTCTAAATATCACTTTATAGGCTTGAGAGAAGTCACATGTCCTGATACAGAATTTTTCATCGATTGAAGAGACTACTGACAATCAAAGAAATTTGCATTATTGTTCACCAACTCCAACAGTGAATTTAGTAAACTCCCTGAGCATTCACATATGCAGGGAAGAAACATAGAAGATCATACACCCCTTTGAAACTGGACAGATGTCATACTGAAACTGGTCTAGAATTTTACAAACTACAAATGAAGAAGGTTTCAGAGAAAAACGCCAGTTTGTTGGATAACAGAAGGCTTGTTCCAAACATCTTGGGTTTCAAAACTTTCTCCACATCGGAGCCAAGGTCCCAAGGCTCTGTCCCCTGAGGCATGGGGCTCTGGAGCTCTGTGGCAGCCTGCTTGGCAGGACTCCCGTGTTCAGCATGGAGGCAGCCAGCGATGCCAGAGGTTTCGGGCTGCCTGCCACGAAGGCTGGAAGCCGAAAGCCAGCACAGCCCCCGGCCGCCCGCGCGGCTCCCGGGCGCTACACGCGGCACGCAGACCAGGCGGGAAGGCCTGGGCTTAGCTCCCAGTGTCCCTGGGGCAGCCCCACACACAGTCACAGATGTCACATAGATGTTTGTGTCACTTTGGAGCTTGCTCTGGGAAGCCCAAAGAAGTGACAGCTTCGTTTCACAGCTAGGTATAGGGCTGCACAGAAAATCTATGTGTGCATATATATATATGTGTGTGTGAAATATGTGTTTGAATACACATATTTTTCTGTGTGTGTATATATATATATAAATACATATATATACATATTTATATAAAATTAAGCCATTTTTTGCAGAAGTAAAACCTAGGTTTTGAAAATTCAGAAAGCCCCTACTTTTCAAAACCCAGCTTTGGGCCCAGTTCTGCTACCATGTTGGCCTACAGCTAAAGGCCTCTCTAGCCCATCAATCTGAAGCAGTAGTCTTACATACTACAATAATGTTTAACCACCGATGTATTAAAACAAGCAATGTAATTACTAACCTGTACACTGAGTAGATCTGTCGCTAATCAAAAATACCTCTTTTATTTTTCTGTGCCATGCCCCCTACACGGGCTGTTATGTTGAAATAAAAAATACTTGTTTGGAAGTCAGTCCGTGATCTGATTTGCACCAGCCTACGTTTGGTTTTGTATACAGATCCACTTGCTAAAGTGTTTCCTGCTGAATCCAGTAGAAGTAAGCCCCTTACCCCTCAAAGCCTAGTGTCTGCCTGCAGATGTGTCTGCAAAACTGTAAATGCAGCCTGGCAGAGGCCTGGAGCTCTGGTAAAGTTGGGATGGACCTTTCTTATCCAGATCTCTTCCCTATTATCTACACTTCCCTTCCCTAGGAGACCGGAGCCATCGTTACTGGCAGTTATTTAAGGGTCTGAAATGGGAAAATGTGGAAGATCTCTGTGTCAGAACATTCTGGGAGCCAACACAAGCACTCCTGCTGATGGCACGTGCTGTCTTCTGTTATCACAGTGCTATTGCTCTGATGATACTGTAATTGCGAGCGATTGCTTTGTCAAGTTTCTAGACAGCATCAGAAACATCCCCTTTTAATTTTCTCTTTTCCTTTTCTGTGTTGCTCTATTTCTGTACCATCTGCTGAAGAATTTCTGCTTGTCATGTATCACTAACCACTGTCTTTCTCCATAACAAAAACCTTTGTAGTCTCATGGTGCCCTTAATTTAAATATTCTCTATGAACTTAGTCACTGCTTCCTCTTGGTTTTTTAGCTTGTTTGGTTTTATTTACTCTGGAGCAATACTGGCAGTAAAATACAACCAGAAATGCCTGCTTTCTCAGATTGGATAGAAACTCATTGCTTTTAGATATCTTACAGATGCTCCCTTAGCTGTAGAAGTCAAAAATTATTAGCAAATTATCAACAGCACACTGCTTTGAAATATGAACAGTATTAAGCATTACCCACAAGAAAGAAAAAACAGAGACAGCGCAGGGCTGCCTGGAGGCCTGGGGAATGCCAAGCTCTTTTACCAGGGAGAATAAAGGACTATGATGTGTTTCACCTAGAAAAATTAAAGTCATTGCTCCATGATCCTTTTCATTCAGCATAAAAGTATGCTGCTAGCAAAAGCAACGGTCCGGCCCTCCTACCCACAACATCCTCCTCGTTATTCCCATCCCTCCTCTGCACTGGTTTTATATTCTCAAGGCTACAAGGAGAACTGGAGCAGGATTGGTCTGAAAATCAAGCAGGGCTTTGCAACGGGAGCTTCCAGCCCGGGTAGCTCCTCCACGCAGCGGCCAGGTGGCTACCTGGGCACGAGTCCTGGCTCGCAGACCCACAACACAGAGTGGCTGCCTGGAGATTGCTCCGTCGATCTTGCTCTGGAACTGTGGCAAAATTCCAAGAGAAGATACATCCAAAAATGATGTTGGCTTCCAGGAAAACTGGAAGAACATGAGGAGATCTGAGCCCTCTAAAATGTTGAGTGATCTGAGGCTCATCTTCTTGTCTCATCTTCTCAGACTACAAACTGTTCATGTGTTTTCTACAGGGCCTAGCCTCATGGAGCCCCAGGCTCAACCTGGAAGCCCTGGGCATGTCACAGTACCAAAAGCAGCAACAGGAACATCTTTACATGTTGCCCCATTTGAAGGAAATAGTGGGGTAATTAGAGAATGATGAAGGGGATTAGAAGTGGAGAAAGAGTAAAGACTTTGGAGAAAATGAGCCAGAGGGGGATGATGTGATCAAAGTTTACAAAATCATCAAGGCCTCAGATAAAGTAAATTTAGAACTGTTGTTTACTAAATCCTTCAATAGCAAAACTAGGGGCCACTTACTGAAACGAGAACTACATCAGATAAAAGCACAGATGAAAGAAATTTTTCGGTGCAGTGGCTACTAAACTTCTCAAACTCATACCGCAGGATGCTGTGGAGACAAGATAGTACCAACAGGCTCAGAAGGGATTAGGGAAATGCATGAAAAGATCCATGAGCAAACACTAAAGGAAACAAGGAAGATAAATCTTCTCATATCCCCATACAAGACTTATGGATGATACTAGGGGAAAGGACTGCAGAAAACAGCCCAGCTTGTGTTTTTTCCTTCAGTAATATCCTTTATCACCATTCTTGGAGGAGGAGTAGATGGACTACTGTCTTTGAATATCTTGAGTTCTCTTAAGAAATATTAAAACTTCCTTTAAATATCAGTGTGTTCTAGATACCTTCACAAATTCTCTGCAGAGTGAAAACTAGGTAACAAAATAAACTCCCACTAGAGGACGGACTATTTTCTCATTTTGACATCTTTAGTCTGCTTCACATGCCTACACATGCCTAAACTAACACATTGCACGAACAAATGCAACAAACAATTAAAATGAAATTATGAGGCTTTTGGTTGAGATGGATTAGCTGTGAGAATTAATCTCTTACCATTCTATTAACATCTGTATTTAAAAAGGATGTGGCTTAATCTTCAACACTAGGTAGATTACCAATATAGTTAGTCTGATACATCTCCCATTTATTTGTATGTCTGATTTTTTTATGTTCTTTAGACTTTTTGAGGAGATTTACCTCTTCATGTCTTTAGTGGTCAAGCAATACAGAAAGAACTGAGTAAATAAGAGTGCAGTATTTAAATGTTTGTTTCAATCTACTAATAAATTTGCTATATTATTCCCAATGTAATTTTGTAATTAATATAATTTTGCATTACAAATAGGTTGATTTTTGTTTATAAGAATACATATGAAAATACATGCAGTAACAAAAGGTTATAAGAAAAAAATTTTCCATAAGCAAATAAATGGTAATTTGTAAACTGAAGCATAGTGATTTCTACACTTGCAGATAGTTCTTGTCAAGAAAACAAATTTCAAATTTTGATAGCTTTAAATAGGTTTTTCAAGTCAATGAGCTAACACAATTTGTCAGTATTTTCATTCTTTGGCATCACTTAAATGTCCAATTTATTGTAAGAGAGGTGATATTCTAGATCAGATCTTTTAATTTAATTATGAAAAGGGTTTTATTGAGTGACTGAAATAGCAGTATTTTTAGCAAATGTGTTTCTGTCTATAGATAGAGGTATATCCCACATGCACGCAAATTACACGATGAGGCCAAATGATATAATAATTAAACATTGTTAAGCACTCAGCATGTATGTTTTACATCAAACATTGGACCTGCAGCATCCATGCAGGCAGTTCACTTACTGTGAACAATTCCCTGGACCACAGTCAGTTGAGAACTAACTAGACAGTTCAGTCACCTACACAAGCACTAAGTAAAATTAAATTACATTCTGTGAAATGAAGATAACTGGTTTTGGTTACAGAGTAATCTGCTGACAATTTACCATCCAAGTCTAGTCCAACAAAGCATTTTTAACTGGATGATGATCAGTTAAACTCCAATATTTCAATCTATGTTCTAATATTTATATAAAATTTCTCAAAATTTTCTTTTTTTATGTAAAATTTCCCAGCTACTTCATCCTTTCTTAAATATAGAATATTGTTCTTTCATATCATTGTAAACAAACAAGCAACCAAAAAAAACGAGATTATTTCAAAAACAGAAACATCCAGAATGTTATTTCAATGAACAGGGTGACTTTTATCCCTGTTCCGGAACAAGCCATGCTTGATTTCTAATGGCAAAAGTGAAACATCTGTAATTAGAAAAGGAGTATTGCACAGCAAGTATTGTAAAGGTATTATCAAGATTCCAGTCCAAATCATTACAAAAAAAATCATAAAGATGAGCAAAGGAAGAGCTTACTCTTCATAAAAAGTATAAGTCAGAATAAACTGCTTTTAAAAATTGACTTATTGTTGCTTTTAAGGAGGACCCATATCTTTGGTCACTACTCTTTTTATCCTACTGCTGAGTATCCTCCAAGATGGCATCAAATATTAGTACCTGTTATGCACAACATCCAATATTAATACTGTAACTGTTAGTCACAAGGCAACAACTATTGTTACTGGAAAATGTAATGAGCAGAAGTTTAGAATCAGAGCAACTACTGATGCTAAGGCTAAGCAGATGAGATAAAAGGAAGAGAATGCTGGTTGTGGCATCTATCAGCTTAGTCAGAACTCCCCCAACATCTCATGTAGAAATGTGCAACAGGAAACAATCTGCATTAAAATTAGAAAATGATAATGGCTTTTGGTCATCATAAAAGGAAGAAAATGTAACTTTGAAAGATGGATTTGGACTATACTTGTCAAGTTTTTCTAATGCTGATTTAGAATTTGCCTCCAAATTTGAGGCTGACCCTAAATACTTGTGAAAGACCATGATACAACTGCTTTCATCTCCAATGCAGTACTCCATCACATTAAGAGTCACAGTCCCACATGCTACAAGTCACTTGATACAGTGGTAGTCTGATCAGAGAACAAAAGATCCTTCAAGTTGGAATATAGAATAATGAGAGCTCCATAGAGTAATGGGAGTGGCTGGAGACCACATTTGACTGGCCAGGACTATTTTTGATAATTCATCACATACAAGCTATAATAAATACAGAGACACATCTAAGCTAATAATAAGACTCCTCTTCTTTGAAGATATAGACATAGTGATGGTTTGATTATTTCCATCTGACAGGTTCTTCTCTGGCCAATGGAAGCTTGAACCTACACAGCACTGTGAAAAGGAAACTAGACGGGGAGAAAGATTATGTCTTCGATAAGAGACTGAGATACAGTGTGCGTCAAAACGAAAGCAACTGCAGGTTCAGGGACATTGTCGTGCGGAAAGAAGATGGCTTCACACACATTTTGCTATCCAGCCAGACTTCAGATAACAACGCACTGACTCCAGAGGTAAGCGTGTGCTGTGAAAGCCAAATAAAAACCAGCCTAATATGTGGGGATGTTGCAAGCACTGCGCTTAAACAGTACTTCGTGTCCCTAATTATTAACTTAAAAAAGAGAGTATGCAGTTCAGATATATCTGACTTTACTCCACCTGCAGTCTTGTCAAAAGCAATGCAACGGAAATTAATTTTTCATATACATCTCTGAAACAGAAAATTAATTACAAAGAAAGGAATGACAACATTATTTCCAGCACAGAGCTGTAAGAAGCAGTTGTTCACATGATTAAGTTATTGCTAGTCACCAGGGACTAGTTATTGCTAGTCACCACCAGGGCGCCCACAGACCCTGCTACACATCATGATACCAAATAGTTAAAACTGCTGGTACACACACGGATCACTCCTAGGCTTTGAACTATTTAATATTTTAAAACCGTATCTTAGTAATTAACACTGAACACCAAACACCTGTTTTTAATACTAGACTCTTAATAAGTATTAGGTTGCATAAAATACATCATTTCATCCCTGTATTACTAGAGAGATTACTTATATATTAAAGAAACTACCACTAACGGATGCCAAATGTAATTTAAATGAAGAGCTCAAGGGCCTGAAAATTATGAAATGAAGGACTTAACCATGTTAGGGCTGAAGAGGCAAATCTTTGTGTTGCTGTCTCTGCTACTGCACATCAGCAGTGTTCAAATGCACCAACTAGTGAATTAATTCAAGCTCTTCAAACTGCTTCACTCCATTTTTTGGAAAATTCTCAGTATGTCAGCAGCCAATCACTGTGCCAGAATAAATCATAAACATGCAATATTCTTATCGCATCAGTGTGCACCAGCAGTGATTGTTTCTAAGAGCTTTGCTGAAGTTCATGTAAGGTGTTTTAGGAAGCTACGTTACTAAGACCTCGATGGTCAGGAATTAATCAAGGTAATGAGTTCTCCACGTTTAGACTGTCTATTTAAAATTCATCCAGGCTGAGAGTAATTGAAAGCTGTTACCCTCTGGATGATGCTCACTGGCAACTGTGAAACTACTCCTTTGGCCTCAGTCCAGGCTGCAGCCCATGAATGTTTGCACCACGAAATCCAGCACCTCCAGTATCAATACCCTTGTTAGCAATTTCAGTAAAAACTCAAGGGACTAAAAGGAGGAATATGTTGAATGCCTCATCCATACAGGATTTTTTTTTCCTATAACCAGAGCTGAGAAAAACTGACAGAATAATTCAGGCAAGTTTACATTATTTTCAGGTTTGACACCTTTTACCATTGCTGAATACACAACCACAAAACTCCTACAAGGTTTAAGAAAATATGTTTCATTCTGTCAAAAGAATCGCTAATTTCAAGCTTAAATAGAAATTCAGTAAATTACATTTGCCAAATAGAAAATTATGAACTTACAGCAGGTCTACTTGGCATGGTTAAAATACTAGTGCTCGGGTTATTCTAGGTCACAGATTTTAGGAAAGAAAACAAGTTCTGCATTGCCCACAATCATTGTAAGATTGATCTTATACCAAAACACGCTCACCATTAAACACCTCTGCTTCCCTTTGTGTTTTATCCTAAGCCTCAGACAAAATTTAATAGTTTCAGTCAATGCTGTCTGCTATTTATGGCCGTTTACTTAAAATAACTAGCAACTTAAGAATTATGGCACAGTATTCTGTGCATATGTCCAAGCTGAGAAAAACAAGTTTTTGCCTGCATGAGATAAATTTATCATTTACATGATACTCAATATATTTTCAGGAAGGTTATTGATACCAAAAGAAAAAAAAAAAGCTTGGAAACATTTGCCTGTACCTTCATCCTACATTACTGGAACCACATCACACCTGTAGGTTTGTGCAGGTTGAGCACAAAAGGTTTAGGTTTAGCATAAAATGTGCCTATGCATCTTCCCACAGGATTTGCACTAACTGGGGTTGGCTTAGTGCTACCCTAATAATTTATTTTTTCCAATAAAATGTTTAGGTCACTAGATTTCTTTTTGTTTTTTATTTACCTTTTACAAGACATCATAAAATTTTCAAACCAGTTTCATGAAAGAGTACAGGCTCATTGAAGTGGCTTAGGCTGTCTACTTTTTAAATGCATTTAAATTTAGTTTTTTACATAGATATGTAAACTATTTCATCATTGTAAATTCGATTAGAGCATTCTCTCACAGGTTTAATGATGTTTCTGCAGCTCTTTCTCCAGTGCTGCTGCTGCTGCTGCTGTGCTTCAGTATATTTAAAGGATCCAAATTCTTTCAAACTTGAGATTAAATTGATCCTCCACTGTTTTTACTTTGCACTCTTAGTATAGCTAAGAATTAATATTCCACTGAATTAAAAGCAAAACATACAGCTAATGTTTTCAATAAGGACTGATATAGCTAGTTCAAGTTCACTTTACATATAGAAGCACCCAGCTTCAATTTTCCAGCTGTGAGAATTACAGGTTCTCCAAGACGCATTTTGAAGCACTGGTGTTGCCTTCACTTTTCATTGCTTTAAATGTCTCCGGACTTAATGGTTAACACGGCAGTACTAGCTTACTGCTATGTGTATTTTTGCTGTCATACAACCACAGATTGTTTCTTTGGCCAGTGCCTATGCCTGCAGACAGCCATCTAGGTTCTTATACCTTTTATTTATCAAATAAACATTTTTATATAGAAAAGAGCTCAGAATCTGTTTGCATGAAGAGTCAATAATCAATAAAAGGGGTATTTATGTAAAAAGGCAAGACTTGTGGAAGAGATTCTAAGAACAACTGAATGGTTCTACATCCTCCTTTTACTCTAATATTTACAGAATATTTCCCTGCAAGAGTTTCAACAGTGAATCTTTAGAGGTTCAGGGAAGTTAATCTTTTAAATCAGTATTTCTATTTATATGGAAAGAGACTACTGACTCTCATATAATTAAGGTGATAAATTCTCAACTTCCTGATTTCCCCAGAATCTAGGCAATATCTAAACCAAACAGCACCAAAAGCCTTTTAAAACCTCCTACCTCCTGTGAAAGACATTAAACTGAGCACTCAGTTTAACCACATTTATGTTTATTTTGGAGTATAAGTTGTCCTATTAAGAAACTAACCACCTTGTTGTCTTGAAAGGATTATAAAATAAGCAACTTCTGAATGAGTGATAATTTTATTACATGTTTGGTTTCAGTAAAACAGTAAGTGAAGCATTAGACATAGCTTAAATTTATAATTTGACACATTTTTATAACCTGAAAACTTCCTGAGAAACTTTAGTCAAATATAAATAAAAATATAATCCCCAAAAGTGAAAATCGACTGAATTTGACTGGCCATAAAAAAGCTTATTAAAAAAAAAAAGGCATGGAACCGGAGAACAAAACTATGGAGCCCAAAAAATAGTAATATTAGATCTGTCTCACTAAAGAAAGTAAATTTATCAAATAGCATAATTACATCAAAAATGAGGGAATGTTCAAGTATCTTGAAGGAGAGAAAAAGGAATATGGAATCTGGTGAAAGAACATGACTAAAAATACACATATATCTTTTTCTCTTTTAAGTGAACTCACTACTGCATTCAATGGAAATCTGCACTTGAAAACAGCAAATTCAGAATCAAAATTACATTTAAGGTGTTGCAGTTTAATACACAGTTGTGGAGCTAAACAGACAAATCATCAGTAGCTTTCCTATAATTTTATAAACATCAGGAGGAAAACACCCCTACACAAATGATCAGGGAAGACCAGGATGCCGAGTAAACAGCAGACAGCAGCCTCTTAGCTACAACCTAGAAAAGAGCCACGGTGGCCACAAGGATTTTGAACTGCACAGGAGAAGGGACCGTCCCTTAGAACAAGGGAATGGGAACTCACTTGGCAGGCACTGGTTTCTGATACTATTTTCTTTCACTAGAAACCAGTAGAACTGTGTAAATAAATTTTCATACTTACTTAAAAAATGCTATCTAGATTACTGGATAGCCTTCCCATTGCAACAAGATCTGAGAAATGAATTTTTAATAATTCAGCTTTAATACCACCCTCACCCAAACCTGTAAAAAAGATGATGGTGGAGTACTGCTTTTTTTCATGTAGTATATAACTGCTGCTCAAAAGCCACATATGCACATGTAGGTAGTTTTAGATCACTTTAGACTTCTAAGGGGATGATAAAAACATGCAAGGTTTGCAATGGATTATGTATTTGAAGGACAACAGAGACAACATCAAAGAGATGGTATGTATGCAAACATCACAGGAGGAAGAGAAATAAAAGCTTTGCATGTAATATATCATGGCATAATGTATAAATCAAAATTCCACATTTTACATAAAAAAGACTATTCTCTAATATTATTTATACACTTTCCCTTAGAAAGGGTAGATTTTGAGGACTTTTAAAAATATCTGAAGTAAATTAAGAGAGCAATGTTGTATTCACTTGGAATTAAAACAAAATTTGTATTTTTAGTTCTAATGTCTACTATCTTCTAGAATTTCTTTGTTCACCTTGAAAAGAGATTTGTTTTCCCATTATAAAATAGGCATTTACCCACGTTTTTACAACATGAGGCCTGAGAGCCTCTGAGATTCTGAGAATAAACCATAAGCGTAATATTGCTGATGACATTTTTGTACATGCACAAAAACTTCAAATCCAGTTCCAAATTCTACTGCTTTTAATTGCTTCACTTCCACCCACTGTCACCTACCTGGTATTACAGGCGCTGCGAAGTGCACACGGAAAGGAAGCTTCTGTAAATTCACCAGCCAGCTTCTCATGTTCTAGTCTTAGCAGCCAACGGAAGGCAGATATTCCTCTGTAAACATATATGGAGAGCTGGCAGTTAGCATTGCACTGCATGGTTTGAAATGACAAGTTCAAGCTTGTTCTCAAAAGCCACAGAATTTATAATAAAAGCCTACCTATTTTAAAAGGTATAAACAAAATTGCTCTGCTCAGGGAGAAATCTGATGTAAAGCATTCCAGAGATGTAAAGGAATTTGGGAAACAGGAAGCAGTGAACAGAAATTATTGCAAGCTACAAGTCTTATTTCTTTCTTATGTGCAAATTGTATTTGATCCAACCATATTTTGCTGTCTTTGAAAATCTATCCGAACAGCAAAGCTTTCAATGCAAAAGAGAAAAAAACCTCAACTGGCCCCTGCCCATTGGCCATAAAAGCGACATGGCCCCATGAGTACGTGTGTCACACTGAAGGAAATCATGGCGCTGCTAAGGTGAAAAGCAAATCATTGAAGATAACAGGAGAAGCAAAACTCCTGACATCAGGAAGTCAGCAGGGCTAAGCAGGGTAAGCCAGGCTTACCTTCAAGTCTGACCAAACAAGCAATTATTTCTCAGAAGTTTATGAAATAATATTTCCTCTTAGAATCATAAGGATAGCAGTTCCACTCAAGTGATAGCCTATTTCTTACAATGCCAGCAGCTCAATTGTGTATGGATTTTGATTAGTCTTGATTTGTGGTGCAATTAATTGTTTGATTTGATTATAAATCACAGAGTAAAAAGGTCTTTCTAGGGGCTTTTTGGTCTAACTTTTGTAGACTTTAACCATATCACTGACCACAATGATATGAATAATGTTTTTGTCATATTGATGTATATGAAGTCCTCTTGTCCCTACATTGCTTTGGTTCGTGCCATTTGAAACCAAAGTAGCTGAAGAACTGAAAACTGGGTTTATTGATTTTGCTTACAGCATGTGGAGGTTAATAGGCTGTTGTTGTGCTGACCATGTTACTAAGGATACAGTGATGTACCCTGAGTAGTTTTTTAAACTATGAAAACAAAAAGTGATATCTGAAACTATAAATTGCAATGAAACAGTATCGGTCAGGTAGATAGAATTTCCCATAGAATAAGCACAGAACAGCCAAGTTATAAAACCTTTTTGAATTAGTAAACCTCTATAAAGCACTTCCAAATATAAAACTTTTTGCAAACTCTCTGTGTTATCATTCTATATTAAAATATAAATATATATAATTTATGTAAGTATTAATTAACAGTGCCCAAAATTTAAGTCGCTCAAAATCAATAAGGTTTGTAAAATTAGGGAAATGATATTGCAACGGCATGCATGTCGAATTGTTTACTTTTCTTTATCCACAGATCATGAAGGAAGTTCGGAGAGCATTGTGCAATGCATCAGCTGATGACAGTAAACTCTTACTTCTCAGCGCAGTGGGAAGTGTATTCTGTAGTGGCCTAGATTACTCATATTTAATTGGCAGGTTATCCAATGACAGAAGAAAGGAAAGCACTAGGATTGCAGAAGCTATAAGGTGACCCAAGCTTACCTATGATCTCTAAATTATGAAATGCAGTGTGTGATTATAAAGATATTTACCAGGTCCAAAAATGTTGTATATTTAATTGTCGATTGCATTCTAATATAATCCTAAAATTTACTTAGAACCTTGGACCTTTCCTTATTAGAAAAAAAAAGCACATTTATTCCAGTGCTACTATTCACAGCAATTTATTTTATTCCACTTATTTGTATTTAATATTTCAGATTATTCCTCCAAAATTTGAATACAATTTTGTTGTTTTTCTTTTTCAAATTAGCTATGGCTTCATGTTCAAAAGTTCTTGAAAGGCAGATATTTTATTTGTTTAAATGTTCATCATTTTAATGAATTTCAGCACAATTGGGAATCCATGGCTTAGTCATATTCTGTTGAAATAGCTGTCTTCCACTGTATTTCAGAGCCTTATTAGAAGGGTCTCCAATCTTTTTCTTAAATTTAAATTACTTAATATACATGTAAATTTAGTTTTATTTTGTAACTAAAATGTGACTTTCCTTACATATATCAGGTTATCTTAATAGAAATTCGAAGTTTATGACATTTAGACTTTAATATGACTACCAGTCAATCTGCACAATCCATCACCAAATATTTCCATTACCCACATGATATATATATGTTGGACAGACGTTCCACAAATAAATCAGCATTACTTCACTGAAGTCAGTCCATACCAGCTGAGGGATTGGTCCATGTGTTTTACTTCCTACATATAAATAAGCTTTCAAATTCTATGCAGCCCATTCCAACAGTTCTATGAAGGAATGCTAAAGAATTTGTTTTACAAGAGATCCATATTTTGGACACATTAGTATAACGTAAAAATAGTTGTTGATATGTATTTCACTTCCCAAGCCAAGAGATTCGGAATAGTGGCCTCAGCCTGTTAACCCTCAGTTGTCTTGGTTAAAACTACTGCAGGTCACTTTGGATTCTCAGTTCAATACTTCTAAAATCTTCTGAAATTCTTGGAGAAGTAAAAATTCTTTTAAAAGAATGAAAATGTACTACTTAACACAAAAAACCACTACCTGTTTTTAAAAGTCTAGCTATGCTTGAATATCATTTAGTGATATTAACAAAGACGAAAAAGGAAAAACACTTTGAAGGACAGATTGTAGATTAATTTACTTAATAGGAGAGATCTTTCTTTAAAAATGTGGAACCAAAAAGAATGAGAGGACAGAAAACCACTACTTTTGTCTGAGAGCACATTCGCACTGTAGGAAAAGACATACACTTAATATTACTCATTTAAATAGCGTGTAGATAGGTATTGCTACATATGTATATATTTATAGATTACATTATATAGAGGTATACTTATCAATTCAACATTTATATGGATCTAAGCCAGATGGTGATATCTTTATGCAGTTTTTCCATCCCTGGACTCATGGAATACTCTTGAAGTACTCGCACAATGTAATTCTGCTTGTCAAGAATGTCGAATTCAGGCCCACTGGAAGTAGATATTTATTGTACTTCTGGAAACTGTACAGTATTTTTTCCATTTAACTCTCTCAGTGCTTTCTGTGAACAAAGGACTCGATCCATGGAAAATATACTGTAATAAGCATAGAGAAATCATTCTTTTCACTTACTCATTGGTTAGGATGTCCTAATACACAGTAACTCATCTCTGCTTTCACTGTTGTACATGCAGTTAGGCTGATGTATCAACATGAAATAAGAATCTTCATTAGTGTGTTTTCACTTTCTAAACTATGGATCCCATATGGATCCCACACAAGATAAAATTGAAGTTTAAACTCCTGATAGATGTCATATCACACCAACATTTATTCAGTTGGTCCCTGTCCTCATCTACTGACTCTAGGCCTTGCAACTCAGAGTGTGGTGTGTGCCCTTGCAGCTTAGCTCCAGGCACAGAACACAGCTCTTCAGCTCAACCTGTGGTCATCTAGCAACATGTCTTCTGTAGGTGCACTGCACCAAATGCAGGTGTTTGTTCCCTCTTCCAGGCCATTCCACAGCTGACACATTCCATACTCATCCATTGTGCCATATGCTTTATGTTCTCCATCCTTCTCCACTGACCAACGACAAGAGTTTTTGCTCAATATTCTGTTCCACTCCCCTCTAACTCCGAGGGAAGATCTCATGGAGATTTCCTTCATTCCTTCTTCTTCGTTCATTCTTCCTCCTCATCATGCAGACATTCCCTCTCATTGCCTTCCATATTCACTTCCAGGTCCCTCTATCCCCTCATGCATCCATACAGCCCTCAGATCCACTGCCATGACTCGTCCTGCTGTTTGTTCTTTTTGCCTCTCATTCTTCACATCCCTGTTTCCTGCCCTTAGTGCTGCTCGCAAAACTTATTTGCTTAACTGCTATTGTTCCCAAAATTCTGGAATTGATCAGGTGCAATGATCCACAATCATTACATCATCATAAACAACCAGAGAAGGGACAAGACAAGGGAACAGAACTGCTGCTGCAACCAAGAAAAAAAAAAAAGGAATTAACTCTCCTGAATCCTCCCATTCTCTACAATAAATTGTGTTTGAGCACATAAATATGATCTTTATTTCACTCTCTTTGTCATGTCTTAGATCTGCTGTATTGCTCAATGTGTAAACAGAGCTGTCTGAACACACACTATTTTCTCATAATAAAAACTCAACTCCTTACTAAATAGCCAGAAAAACAGAACTCAATCATTTAGCATTTAATTCTGAGTTACCTCAGACTCTTCTTTTTCTTTTGAAATATAGACAATTTCCTTGCAGTTCAGTCTAATAAAATACTTATCTTCAGTTTGCTTTCTTTTTTTTTTTTTGCCAAGTCAGAATCTAAACTGCAAGATTCATATTCTGTCCTCAGATGTGTAAGTTTAGGTCTTTCTGACCTCAGTGGGAGATCTGCAACACATCCAGGGGCGAATTTAACAAAATACAGTCATGTTCTTTCATGTAGTCTGTCAGCAATGATGCACATTGGATCTAACACTGGACCCAAGGCAGTCACAGAATCACCTGCTTTATACTGAATTTGATTAATACATGTCTTTTTATCTAATGTAATTGAGCATCTTGTTTGCCTTCATATACCTGCTGTGCACTGAGCTGCTGGAGCCCATAATTTGTCCACAATTACACTCATGCATTTTTTCCCAATTCATGCGTATACTTTTCTATTCAATAGATGCCTTTCCAAAGTTCCTAAGTAGAGATGAGTTGTTTGGAATATCTCTTAATAGCACAGAATTTAACATGTTCCAGCTGACTCATCCAGATGAGCTCAATCATATTATTTCCCCCATTATTTCCTATTGCTTCACATTTACTGTTGTAGGCAGGCATGGACATCTACCTTGTTATGCTTTAGATTGGGCATTTGTAACAACAACCAAACCGATCATCCTCACAAATCTCTTGTTCTTTAAACTATTTTCCCTCTCTTTGACTCCCCTCTTGCAGGTCTTATTCTTTCCCCTGCTACAGAGCCTTCAATACCTCCCAATCCATTAGGGGAATGTAGGGATCTTTGACATAGGATCTTAAGAGAGCTTTTTGAAAATGTAAATATGGAGAAAACACCAATCAGTTTCCTCTTTCATGCTAAAACATGTTCACCAGGTTAGCCAGACTGGACTGTCAGAATCACTAGTTCTGGAACAAACTGAGAAACTCAATGTATATAAACTCAGCAGTTACTGGTCAAGAAGCAAAACTAACCATAACCAAGCCATTCTGCAGACACTACATCAGTCAGTACATTTTGGTTACTCTATTAATACACAGCACACAAAATTATTTAATATCCCAGGTGCCCTGAAATATTAAGTAACTAAACATGAAATTACCCATGTATGAAGTAGTGCAATTTTGACCTCATAAAACTGGACCATGGCATTTATTGCCTTCATCTGAGGTTCAAGTTTGTTTTCAGATTAAGTACATTAAGCTTGGACTTTATCTAAGTGTTATTTCTGTATTCAAGATCTTCCTTTTATTTTTTATTTTAGGGATTTTGTAAAAGCTTTTATTCAGTTTAAGAAGCCAATTGTGGTTGCTATCAACGGCCCTGCTCTTGGGCTAGGAGCTTCTATTCTGCCACTGTGTGATATCGTTTGGGCAAGTGAGAAGGCATGGTTTCAGACACCATATGCAACAATCCGACTCACTCCAGCTGGCTGCTCATCATACACGTTCCCACAAATACTGGGTGTTGCACTGGTAAGGTTTTCCATCTAAAATTCCTGGAGAATCTGTGTTAATTTTGTGCTCTTGTTTTCTCTGTCTTTAAGAAGCCAAACTGAAAATGTGTTTCTCTGAATTATCAGGAGTGGAAATTAAAATCCAGGGAAAGTTCATCTAATTCCTATTTATTTCTTATCATAAAATGACTTCAGAATTCAGTATTTTCCACATGCAGTATACAAGAAAGATTTAACACAGGTAGAAGGAGTGATTACTGCCAAAATCACAGTAGAAAAGGACAGAAATGGATTGATAAAATAATGCTACGAAGTCCTGACCTGTATTCTGTTAAGATTGTGCAGTCACAGAAGTGAATATTGTTCTTTGCTTCTTTTCTACAGAAAATCCAGATATTTCTATCAATGTTACTTGGCTTTTACCCTTGAAACAAAGTAGAATTTGACCCACAAAGTATTTCATACCATATTCTGTATCACTGTATCATTGACAGTTACTCTTGTAAAATCAGCAATGTAGATTCATCATGAATGCCAGCACATTTCTTTTTTAAATGAAGCCCATGCTGTGCTCTGGCCACCTGCACAATCCTTAAATAGCTACCAAAACTCCTTTTCATGTACTCTGCAGAATGGAAAGATACACGAGAACATTTGTAAATTAAATCTTGAAAATAGCAGGCAAGCACGGGAAAAGTTTTAAGGCAATAATAACCCAAGATCTCAAGTAACCTTTTACTTTCATAGGCAAATGAAATGTTGTTCTGTGGGAGAAAGCTGACAGCACAGGAAGCCTGCAGCAGAGGACTCGTGTCACAAGTATTTTGGCCAACAACGTTCAGCCAAGAGGTGATGCTACGAGTGAAGGAAATGGCATCCTGCAGTGCAGTGGTAAGAATCAAACCGTTTTGTGACTAAATTACGCTTTGCAAAGGCAAGGTGTGCTCCAAAGGCTTATCACATCAGGAAGGCTCCTCAGCTCCCACATGATACCTGTGGAAGTGCGGTTAGGACGAGCAAACCTAGAAAGGGGTCAGGGAGCTCAAGAGATTCCCCTTTTCTCAGGAGGAGGAGGTTGTTTTATTTCCCCGACTCCACAGTTATTTAGCGCTAGTGGAACACATTTGCCATATATTTTTAAAAGGGCATAGCTTTTCTGTATAAAGATGGAAGAATATGAAACTGTACAACAGTACTGGGACATCTCTGCAGGATGTAAGAAAACATATTGAGCCTTCATGTTGCCTTGGCCCAATACATCTCAGCTGACTCTCCCTTCTTGTCTGTACCTGCATAGTTCCTGATGCTGCAAAATGTTCTGCTCAGGGCACCAGAAGGGTATATTAATGCACCTAACCTCTGCTGTGAAGAAGAGATGAGATCCAGACATAGATGGATCTGAACATACACAGTGTATGTAACTTTCCTTTTGTGTACATAATAGTTGAGTGAAAATCATTTCCTAGCTTTAATTTCTAAGGCCCCTTTGCTTCAGGCAAATAGACTTCTATTCCAGGTTCATCCTTGCTTCAAAGAAATGCATTGAAGAAGCTAATACTGGCTGCAATGAAACTGCACTGACAAAAGTGCAAATTGCTACAGGTTATTGTTATCCTTCATATACCTGGAACTATCTTAGCATCCCTCCGTTTCATTTAAAAGATCTGCTGTAAAAGTCAAGGTAGAAGCACAGGAGATTTTTAATTAAATAAATTGAAGATTAAATCTCACAATAGACATTCAGAATGAAATTCACTGGAAAGGTAGCATAAGCTTATTTGATCATGCTGATAATAACATACATTATATGAACTGGGGAAACCTCTGGGCCTTTTGGTGAATTCTTCTTTCCTTCACTGTTATTAGATGGCAATGAAATTTACTCCTGAAATCTGTTAGAAAGAAGAGTGGTGCTAACTTGTGGACAAAGATGAGAGTTAAAACTGATTTATTCTCTGGGATCCTAAATGCAAATCAGGCTGAAGTCACAAAAATAATGAATATGAGCTCATCCACGCTGACTGTGAATACGTTCACAAGAGAATAATGCACAGGCCCAGCTACTCACAATGAACATCACTTACTAAAGAGAAACACGATTTTGGAATAGCACAGTGCTATAGCCTTTACCAGACAGGAACTGGACTTCAAATGTAGGTGTCGGCAAAGCTGAGTGGCAAGTATGCATCCCTCATGCCATAAAGAGGATAATCACATTAAATCTTCTGTTCCCAAAATTCAATACTGCATAAATTATTAATGATTTTGTTTGAGTAGTTGGGTTTCTTGCAAGGTATATGTCTGTGTCAGGTATTTCAAAAGGAACTTTAAAGAAGCCAATCTCATTCTGCTTAAAAATGGTCTGGGAGAAACAAGAGATGAGCTGTACATGCAACCGTGGACATGCTGTTCATACCTAACTAACACCAATTGAGAGGAGATTATTAGGACTTGAGGTTGTGCTTTTCAATGAAAAAACTTCAGGTGATTTTTTATGATTTCTTTTATCATGTGGAGAAAATGTAGCTCCGGAAGAGTCAGCAGGTGATTCTTTCACTTCATACCCTTCAGTTATAAAACACAACTTCACTTTTGAAAACATTTAAACAAGTAAACTCAAGAGGATGTTTGAAGCAAAGCCCATTCCTATTCATTTCTGTTCTGACAATTAATTAATACATGAGGAAAAATGGTTAAAGATGGATTTCCACACTGGGATATCAAAACTATAACCTTAAAGACCTATAACCTTGCAGAAAGCAGGTAGCTGCTGTATCATGCCTCATGAATCTTCATTTCAATGGGTCACGTTTGACAAGAGGGAATTTATCTTCTTTTACAACCTCATGGCAGAGCTTTAAAAAAACAAGGTACTCCTGAATCCTCCTCTTCTTTTAAATATGTTCATATTAAGGTATAAACCACAAAAGTCCTAAATTCTTAAAGACACTATCACCAACTGTTACTGTAGCTGAAAATCAAACCCCATTTCTCAGCCCAAAGTCGCTAGTTAGATTGTAAATGTCAGTAGTATGAAATGGCTGTCAGACCATTATCCATAATAATTTTATTTGATTCAAAATAAAATACTAAGCAATATTTTGGCTTTAGGTATTGGAAGAGTCTAAATGCCTTGTGCGAAGCTTCCTGAAGTCTGGACTGGAAGATGTGAATGAGAAAGAGTGCCAGATGTTAAAGCAGCTGTGGAGTTCTTCCAAAGGACTGGATTCATTATTCAGCTACTTGCAAGACAAAATTTATGAAGTCTGATGTCCCAGTCTAACTTCAAGAGAAAATACTCCGACTGTAAACAGGGCCCTACATTACCTGTGTTTGAAAAGCAGAGGCAATGCATCCTTGAGGAATTTGTGGCAGTGTATCTTAATACATATGGTTGTGTCCATTTCCTTGTGAGTTACACAGCTGCTTTAGGTGGTTTGATTTTGTGTAACAGAGATGTAGGCAGGCTTGCTCAGTGCACATAATCTCTGCAGAGGGCTGCGTCTTTCACCTGCACATCAAGATAAACGTTCACATTCCACGTGCCGAGAAGCAGCGCCGAGGCCAGCCAGGCGCCGTCTGTAACGACTGATTTTGTCTGTCCTTCTTAACTTATTCTTGCTGTTGCAACACATCTGGGCTGACACAGAGGGCTCAGGCTGAAAAGTGGGTCACTGTAATGTTTTGTAGACCCCATCACCACACTTACGAAATATTTTAATTATTTTTTTCTAGGTTCTAACAGTGTAATTGAAAAAATCTGATAATTTATATGTATAATATGTAAAGTTAGTTTTACAAAAGTACTAGGATTTTTTCTTCATGGAATTTATTTAACTTATTTATTTTGTGTTCATATTCAGCTGTTGGGTGATCACAAATCTTATTTTCATACTTCCCTTGATTGAATTAATGGTATCACATCAGAATACAAACATTTTTAGCAGTGAGCTGTGTAGAAAATAAAGACTATGTAGAAAACACACAGTATGTTGTGGGCACTAACAGAAACAGCCATGTACATGCTCCTGTGTAAGAGAAACTTGTACAAAGATGTATTTGCCAGGGTTAAGGATAAGAAAAGCGGATTCCGAAACAGCGAGGCCCCCTAAGCCTCTCTCCACTTCCTGCCTTCTTGGGGAGCACTGAAGGGCTTGCCAGCAAGATGCTTTCTTTAAGTTTACTCTATTCCTGTAAGCCGGCCATCAGTAACAGGGTGAGTGGTGCCGTTACGTGGCTTCTTACTGTTCTTCAGGTTTAAACATCCCCTTTTGGTCTGAAGTGTAAAAATGAATCTTTCTGAGCCTTAGTCTAGTTGCCTGCTTGCTCAGGTGAGCTCATTCCTGCTCTGGGGCTTTGAGTGGGCCCAGGTCATACACGGTGCTTGGCCCTGATCAAAGTGGCGGGAGAGGTTTCCGTTCGCTTCTCCCAGCTCTCCACACGTGGTCACACCACCCTCTGCTTGCAAGAACTTACAGCTATCCACAACCGCAGTCTGCAGTAGATGACAAAAATCCAGTCTGATGCTTTTGAATGTGATCCAAGGATTTGCCAGTGACACTGACCGCCTCCTGAATACCGCATCTCTCTCCTATCTTTCTTATAAGGCAATTAATATGGAAATAACACAAACCCACTGGGTGACTTCAGCTGCCGTGCCAGCATGCCCCAATCAAAAGCTCTGGAAACAGAAGCTTTGCACGTTTGTTCAGTTTGGAATTTGTGCATTTATTCTCCATCCTTGAGCTCAGCGACTAAGTGACTAGGTTACAGGTTGGACTTCTGCAAAGGAGGTTGTTGGGGTTCTCCCTCGCAGTCTTTCCATGACAGTCTCCACAAATCTTGGTGAGTTAGCAAACAGGTGGTTAGAGTAGCCTTCAACACATCCAGGTATTATTTCCTTTTTCCACAAATAAATAAAAGCACTATTTCTGTGGCCTGATTGTACCACTGTTTTTTTAAAGAAATCGTTACTTCAAAGCAGTTTTCATAAAAAATACAAAATCTGGCTTCAAATTAGCCAGCTCAAACATCTTCAAAAAGCACTATCAAAACAAGTGACTTATTGTCAAATGTCTAAATCAAAGGGGAACTATTTGTGTCTCTTTGCAGTGAAACCACTTGTTTTATACCAAAAGTTGCTTATTTCCACAACCTTCCAGCAACACCACAGACTCTGCTACTCTGTCTGTGAGTCCTCGATAGGGCAGACCCATTAAAAGCAGAGGGATTACTCAAGGGAAAAATACCCACGGGCCGCCGTGACTGCACAATCAGGCCTCTGGGATATGACTTCAGAAAAAAAGTAATACAAAGTACCATGGTTCCTCAATTTCCTTTTTCTTTCTTTATTCCCGTCCAGAGAGCCATAACTTCTAGTCATGTGTTAAATGTGTTAATAAAATATTAGGAAGTTTATTTCAATGCTTTGGGTTTTTTTGTAGATACGTTTAGAAAAGAATAGCTCAGCAATGTGAAGGTGTGCTTTCCATATGAGATTTTCAAACAAAGAATCATAAGTTGTTAGACCTTCAAACTGCATCATTTCATCTGATTTTTCAAATATCTCTATCTTAGCATTTTTTATGACAAAGGAATGATTGAAATACATTTTCTACAATTATTTTTCCATTAAAGCAAGAGCTAAACATAGTTAACATTTTTAATTATTCATATCTATACAGTTACAATCTAGTTTTCATGGAATCTATTTTCCCTTCAAGAAAAGAGTAGTAACAATGTCAAAAGCTTCTTTTCCAGTATTTAAAGATCAGAATCAATTCTCTTTGTGTTGCTGTCCTTACTAGGTATTCAGATATTTAGATGTACTGTACATATTAGTCTGGGTACCTTTACTAATATTCACAGTATTTAAGATTATAAATGCAATTTGTTGTTAAGTATGTTATTTTATTGTGTAAATTGTTTTGTACAATCTTTAAAAATCTACAGTTTTGCATTTGTAGATATTAAAGGTAAACAATTTATTTTGTGTTGTCCTGCATGTATATTTTTGCTGTAGATAAGTGTTGCTTAGTTTACTATTTCAGTACTTTCTGTTTAAATGAATAAGCTTATAAACTTTAATACAGTATATATTTTCAAAATATAAACTTTTATATTTCTGTGGTAGGTTAGGGTATGCGTTTTAGGCAATCTTTTTCACTACTATTAACTGTTCTTTTAATCTATAATACAATGGTTTTGTGCCAATAGTTTTTCATTAGAATAAAATGCTCTTTTAATGTTAGGGATAAA